GCTGTGTCGGTCTCTTCTGAATGTTTCATCAACGAGGCACACAAAAAACAAATGCCGAATTGATCAACAATATATCTTCCATTGATGATCTTTCAAAATATTTAATTGCTTGTCTTTCAGAAGACAATTTTTAAAAAATTAACAACTCCACTCCTGACTCGGACTCCATTTATTTAGTGCATAGCCGCTATACTTCATATTATACAATTGAAGTGGATCCAAACCAAAACAAAAAATGTAAACAAAGCCCGCACATGCGCAGAATGGACTGTAATCTAGCTTTAATGGACATTTTTCATATGTGCCCATTAATCAACGTTCCCAATTTTCAGGTGGTTGTTATATTGTACTGGAAAATATTTGAAATATGTGTTAAGTGTGCAATAGCATTGGCCAAAAAAAATATCGGGTGTGCACCAACCTCGTTCCCAGGCTCTTTGCTCTTGGGAAGCAAAGACCCTGGTCGGAGCTGGTCACGTGAACCCCCAGATTTTGGGGGTAAATTGAATTTGATCTCAGGGAGGGGTAGGAGAGTAGTCTGTTTGTTGCGTTTGGAAAATTGCAACTTTATGTGTTATAATTTCGGGTGATAAAAATGTAATTTGCAACAAGAGATTGTGAAAGGAACTGTTCTAAATTCGTACCGATCATGAAAAGACTTCCTGCTATACTGAATGTCATCAATAATAAGTGTTGCGTTACATTTCAAGCGAGAAGCTGGATCATATTTCACTTGCAAGGAAAACACTCCACACGCGCCTGGCCTGCGAAGTTTAGCACGTATCGCCGTAGAAACATACATATCTTCTACACAGACTGATCGATCAAACGGTATTAAACGAACGATATGGTTCTTTATAGTTGAAGTGTATCCTGTCCGATATTCAAAACAAAAGATTTATTTTATAACGGGATCCTTTGTCTTTGATTTCCCAAACATCGCCAACATGTGTAAACAATAGTGCTATTCTGACTGTAAAAGCACAGGATTAAAACCCGTTATGGACTGGCTATAAAATTCATTTCATTTACATTGCTGAAACTCAACGATCAAGAAAGATAATGTCGAAGTGTAGCTAGCTATCTGTTATCACACAAACGCCAAGACTCCGTACATGCGTTTCCGTGCGTGCGGTACAACTTGAATATCTAGGACGATATATGCACCAGACACTGGTATTGTACTTTATATAAATTATTTCATATTTTGTATATACAGTAATTTGCAACATGTATAATATTAGACCTTTCATTGACATTGGCATTGTCCATTGAGGGCTTTATTGAAGAATAATCCAGCTTCTTTAGACTTGTATAATGGATTAATGCCGCTGTGAGTTATCAATATTTAAATCAACTTTAATCTTTATCGTATACTGGAATCGACATTTTAGAAGTTTTAATAGTCTGTTTTACCAAACAATACTGGAGGCAAACAACCTATCTATCAATGGAAACTTTAAAAGGTTTGCTACAGTAAAACTCATTAATATAAGCGAGACTTCGTGTGCATATACAGTTTATGAATTATGTATGTCCCTGATAAAACGTAGGACACTTTATACCAGATATAATAAAAAATACTTTGCTAAACCTTTTCGGCTGTCATTCCTTTGCATTTAAGGGGAGAGGGTAAATGGCGATAGAATTTATAGGAGATGCTGTGCAATATTTTGGCTTCAACAAACAGGTACTCGTGCAGACAAAAAAGGAAATTCTTGCAGTTATGAATTGTCGTATGTCAGCTGTGCACTGTCGATTTCAAACAATTTTGTACGTTATATTTTGTCTTCCTGGTGTTTAATATAAACGATGATAGCCATTTAAAAAAAATCTAGAGCAATATGTCTATAAACAGTTTTAGAATCAATAGAATGGACATTCACAATGTGTATTTGGCTTGTGTCCAAATGTGTCACGTTTAAGACCGGCAAGGCGCTAATCCTACGACCTATAAACAGTCGCTTTCGAGACATCTGTTTAACAAAATTTATACCATGTCCATATCAGAACAATTCATTGGCATATTATAAGCATATTATAAATATCAGAGCCACAATTGCAACATAAACGTATGCGTGAAATAAAACTACGCCCGAACCGGCGAACCCCCAGAAAATAAAAATATTTCAAAGCGTACAGTCATATGTTCTCGTTGCTTGATTTCCTGACTTTTCTGTTGCTATAAGAATCTGCATTTTAGCATGTTTGTATAATTTAAAAGCAAACAGAAATCAATTTAGCAAGTAGTTTGAGGTATATCTGATTCTTGAAGATGAATTAATGATTGTACAGAACAGCCACTCCTTGCAATCGAAGTGCGGAAGTGGAAACATGTAATATGAGACTTTTCCACCCCCTTCTTGGGCTATCAATTTTCAATGGGTCACGTGACCAGCTCCGACCAGGGTCTGGGAACGAGGTTGGGTGTGCACCAGTGCTCTCACTTTTAAGGAATTATCCTTAAAAATAGGAATTTTGAAGAGTTTTAAGGATTTTTTTAAGGAATTTAGGTTTTTGAGGATTTTTTTAAGGAATTTCCGAAACATTTTATCCTGGACTAAAAACGTTGGATAGAGGATAACCACGCCACGCAAATGAGATTTAAACTTGAAAGTAGCAACATTATACACACATAATTACATTTAGTATAATTACATAGGTGATTATTGAAAATTCTCCACGCTGATTGGTTGCCGTTGAGGCGATTATTACGCGATAATCACCTAAGCGATTTTCAAAATGGCGGCCGGAGCCTTTTTGTCAATTAAATGACAAAGAAATGTGTATTTTCTTATTTCTTTCCAAATAATCACCTATGAAATTATACTAAAACAATTTTTCACCTCAGGCTCGGTGATTATCGTGAATAAAAACCTCGACTTTGTCTCGGTTTTTATTCACCAATAATAACCTCGCCTTCGGCGAATAATTGTTAAATATTCGTATGTTCTCTATGTCATAAATGTTGTTATGTTCCAGTGTCAATTTGGTTCCAGTACAAAATAACACAAATCACACTCATATAACGTAATTGTCATCATAATATAATAGTATGTGTTTATGTACATGGCTTGGCATGTGATTTATAACAAAACTTAAAACAGTGTTTTGAAACCCTAGTTTTTTTACAAAATCTGTTCTCAGAACGCTGCAAATGCCATTTCTGGGATTCAAATTTAAAAATTTTTCCGTGCTTTCGGCGCGAGCCCAATGTTTCGTAAAGTGTCCGTCACTGGTCTTTTCATTAAAATTCTCAAAAGTTATAAAATGTCAGTATATGCTGTTTCTTCTGAAATCTACAGATTTTTTAAGCTCTTCATGCAGCAACGATCAAAAATACATCATGTTGAATGTTTTCTTTATGGAATTACGCTAACAATCAAATGTTTTCAATTTTTAGTGCTTAGAAACAAGGTTATAAAAACTGAAAAAAGGAGGAAAAAACACGTTTTGCAACTGTGTGATCAGGCCTTCTGGTAATTTTGCCAATTTAAGGAATTTTAAGGAAATTTGAGGAGTTTTCGAGCTTTTTCTAAGGAATTCGAAAATTTGATTGTGAGAGCACTGGCACAGAATAGGAAGTTATACCAGAAGCGTAACTCGAGCAAATATTTGTCCGCGTTTCACAAGCGATTCGTCATCAATCACGCCATCCTGGCTAGTACAACCGGCACTTTGTACCTACCAAATCCTGATAAAAACTTCCGGCTGTACTAGCCAGGATGGCGTGGCCTGTC